GGCTCAGTCCCTACTAGAATGCTGGTGATTTTCAGATGATTAGAATTATTAAATTTGCAAGAAATAAATTTTTAATTTCGGTTTTACCGAATTTTGATTGTCTGATAGCGTACGGGTGGACCTGCTACTACTTAAAAATTGAAATAAATTTCTCTATTCTTCACGATGGAGTAGGGCTCAGTCCCTACTAGAATGCTGGTGATTTTCAGATGATTAGAATTATTAAATTTGCAAGAAATAAATTTTTAATTTCGGTTTTACCGAATTTTGATTGTCTGATAGCGTACGGGTGAGGCTGCTACTACTTAAAATTGAAATAAATTTCTCTATTCTTCACGATGGAGTAGGGCTCAGTCCCTACTAGAATGCTGGTGATTTTCAGATGATTAGAATTATTAAATTTGTAAGAAATAAATTTTTATTTTCGTTTTTATTAAATTATGATTGTCTGATGGCGTTCGGGTGAGGGTGCTACTACTTAAAAATTGAAATAAAATTCTCTTATCTTCAGAATTAAGTAGGGCTCAGTCCCTACTAGAACTCTGTCTATTTTCAGATGATTGGAATTATTAAATTTGTAAGAAATAAATTTTTATTTTCGTTTTTATTAAATTATGATTGTCTGATGGCGTTCGGGTGAGGGTGCTACTACTTAAAAATTGAAATAAAATTCTCTAATCTTCAGGATTAAATAGGGCTCAGTCCCTACTAGAACTCTGGTGATTTTCAGATAATTAGAATTATTAAATTTGGAAGAAATAAATTTTTATTTTCGTTTTTACCAAATTTTTATTGTCTGATGGCGTACGGGTGAGGGTGCTACTACTTAAAAATTGATATAAAATTCTCTAATCTTCAGGATTAAGTAGGGCTCAGTCCCTACTAGAACTCTGTCTATTTTCAGATGATTGGAATTATTAAATTTGTAAGAAATAAATTTTTAATTTCGGTTTTTACCTAATTTGATTGTCTGATAGGCGTACGGGTGGACCTGCTACTACTTAAAAATTGAAATAAATTCTCTAATTCTTCACGATGGAGTAGGGCTCAGTCCCTACTAGAATGCTGGTGATTTTCAGATGATTAGAATTATTAAATTTGGCAAGAAATAAATTTTTATTTCGGTTTTACCGAAATTTTGATTGTCTGATAGCGTACGGGTGAGGCTGCTACTACTTAAAAATTGAAATAAATTCTCTATTCTTCACGATTGAGGTAGGGCTCAGTCCCTACTAGAACTCTGGTGATTTTCAGATGATTAGAATTATTAAATTTGCAAGAAATAAATTTTTAATTTCGGTTTTACCTAATTATTGATTGTCTGATAGGCGTACGGGTGGACCTGCTACTACTTAAAAATTGAAATAAATTCTCTATCTTCACGATTGAGGTAGGGCTCAGTCCCTACTAGAATCTGGGAATTGTCAGATGATTAGAATTATTAAATTTGCGAAGAAATAAATTTTTATTTTCGTTTTTACTAATTATGATTGTCTGATGGCGTTCGGGTGAGGGTGCTACTACTTAAAAATTGAAATAAAATTTCTCTAATCTTCAGGATTAGGTAGGGCTCAGTCCCTACTAGAACTCTGGTAATTTTCAGATAATTAGAATTATTAAATTTAGAAGAAATAAATTTTATTTTCGTTTTTACCAAATTTTTATTGTCTGATGGCGTACGGGTGAGGGTGCTACTACTTAAAAATTGATATAAAATTCTCTAATCTTCAGGATTAAGTAGGGCTCAGTCCCTACTAGAACTCAGGAAATTGTCAGACTGATTAGAATTATTAAATTTCGAAGAAATAAATTTTTATTTTCGTTTTATTACCAATTATGATTGTCTGATGGCGTACGGGTGGACCTGCTACTACTTAAAAATTGAAATAAAATTCTCTAATCTTCAGGATTAGGTAGGGCTCAGTCCCTACTAGAACTCTGGTGATTTTCAGATGATTAGAATTATTAAATTTGGAAGAAATAAATTTTTATTTTCGTTTTTACCAAATTTTTATTGTCTGATGGCGTTCGGGTGAGGGTGCTACTACTTAAAAATTGAAATAAAATTCTCTAATCTTCAGGATTAAGTAGGGCTCAGTCCCTACTAGAACTCTGGTGATTTTCAGATGATTAGAATTATTAAATTTGGAAGAAATAAATTTTTATTTTCGTTTTTACCAAATTTTTATTGTCTGATGGCGTTCGGGTGAGGGTGCTACTACTTAAAAATTGAAATAAAATTCTCTAAACTTCAGGATTAAGTAGGGCTCAGTCCCTACTAGAACTCTGGTGATTTTCAGATGATTAGAATTATTAAATTTGCAAGAAATAAATTTTTATTTTCGTTTTTATTAAATTATGATTGTCTGATGGCGTACGGGTGGAACTGCTACTACTTAAAAATTGAAATAAAATTCTCTAATCTTCAGGATTAGGTAGGGCTCAGTCCCTACTAGAACTCAGGAAATTGTCAGACGATTAGAATTATTAAATTTCGAAGAAATAAATTTTTATTTTCGTTTTTAATAAATTATGATTGTCTGATGGCGTACGGGTGGACCTGCTACTACTTAAAAATTGAAATAAAATTCTCTTATCTTCAGGATTAAGTAGGGCTCAGTCCCTACTAGAACTCTGGTGATTTTCAGATGATTGGAATTATTAAATTTCGAAGAAATAAATTTTTATTTTCGTTTTTATTAAATTATGATTGTCTGATGGCGTACGGGTGGACCTGCTACTACTTAAAAATTGAAATAAAATTCTCTAATCTTCAGGATTAAGTAGGGCTCAGTCCCTACTAGAACTCTGGTGATTTTCAGATGATTAGAATTATTAAATTTGCAAGAAATAAATTTTTATTTTCGTTTTTATTAAATTATGATTGTCTGATGGCGTACGGGTGGACCTGCTACTACTTAAAAATTGAAATAAAATTCTCTATTCTTCACGATGGAGTAGGGCTCAGTCCCTACTAGAATGCTGGTGATTTTCAGATGATTAGAATTATTAAATTTGCAAGAAATAAATTTTTAATTTCGGTTTTACCGAATTTTGATTGTCTGATAGCGTACGGGTGGACCTGCTACTACTTAAAAATTGAAATAAATTTCTCTATTCTTCACGATGGAGTAGGGCTCAGTCCCTACTAGAATGCTGGTGATTTTCAGATGATTAGAATTATTAAATTTGCAAGAAATAAATTTTTAATTTCGGTTTTACCGAATTTTGATTGTCTGATAGCGTACGGGTGGACCTGCTACTACTTAAAAATTGAAATAAATTTCTCTATTCTTCACGATGGAGTAGGGCTCAGTCCCTACTAGAATGCTGGTGATTTTCAGATGATTAGAATTATTAAATTTGCAAGAAATAAATTTTTAATTTCGGTTTTACCGAATTTTGATTGTCTGATAGCGTACGGGTGAGGTGCTACTACTTAAAAATTGAAATAAATTTCTCTAATCTTCAGGATTAAGTAGGGCTCAGTCCCTACTAGAACTCTGGTGATTTTCAGATGATTAGAATTATTAAATTTGCAAGAAATAAATTTTTATTTTCGTTTTTATTAAATTATGATTGTCTGATGGCGTACGGGTGGAACTGCTACTACTTAAAAATTATACGATTAAACGAACTTACCTATGTGAAGTTCAATCGTAATTATACGACCGCCTCGTTCGAAGGGATTACAATAAGTAGTATCGTTTCTACTCACTCGCGCCGCCACAATTCAGAGTCAAAGCAAAAAGGGACTGTTCCTCTCGCCCCTCTATCGGTCCTTCGCCATCTTGTTCATTCTTTTTAGAGCTTATATTCAGAAAATTGTCCTTTTCTTTTAGGGTGGGTGAAAAGGAAAAAATTTACAAAATTTTAACGGGAGGGTGTGTAATCCCTTCGAACGAGGCGGTCGTATAATTACGATTGAACTTCACATAGGTAAGTTCGTTTAATCGTATAATTATACTTCCCGCCTCGTTCTCGGGATTACAATAAGTAGATTTTTAGAGACGACAATTTTTCTGAAACTATTTTTATTTATTTATTTTTTATAAACAAATACCTCGATTAAGTAAATTAATTACTGATTATAACATTAAGGAAACTTAGTAAATTAGTTGTTGATTACAACATTAAAGAAACTTTCAGATTCCATGATTGGCCTGTTGTAGAACTTAGCAAACGTCGATGAGTTTTGTGACCAACCTACGGTATTTTGAATTACTCTTATATCTAGACCTTTCTCGAAAGCTTTCGAGGTGGACGCGTGGCGGGTACTATGGGCTTTGAAGTTTCTATCAACGCCACATGAATGAAGTACCTCCTTTATCCAACGACTTATCGTTTGTGTCCCTACTGCTTTATGTGGTTTTTGAAAACTAATAAATAAACATTTTTCTTCTCCTCTTAAGGATTCTGTTCTCTCGAGATAATTTCTTAAAGTTAAAGCAGCACAAAGTTCGGGTTTTTCAGTGAAAAATGGAAGAACTAAGCAGGGTTGACACGCACCAGGTCTAGATGTTTTTACAAGGCTTTCGATTTTTATCTCAACATCATTATTCGAAAAAACAATAGCATCTAACGAAATCAGTGAAAAAGTTTGTACTCGATGACCGGTTCCTAAAGCCAAGAGTATAATTAGTTTTTGTGTAAGTGTTTTTAAATCTAATTCGTCGAGTGGAAACCATTTTGCTATTTTGTCCAAAACTGAAGACACATTCCAAGTTCTATTATATTTTGCTCTACTTGGTTTTAGTTTAAATATCCCTCGAAAAAATCGTTCCATTACAAGATCTGATACTTTTTTGTTAGATATGAGAGATATAGCTGAACGAATGGTGTTTAAAGATCCGTATGAAGATCCGTTGTTAAACTCTTCTGTTAAGAAACTTAATATGCTATTCGAATCTTGATCGAAAACGTCTAAGTTTTTATTTTTGCAATAAACCCACCATTTTCTTAACGCGCAATTATATTGTTTAAATGTAGAGTCACTTAAAGATGCTAATAGAACGTCTATAGTGTTTTCCGGAAGCTGTCTTCTTGCGTAACTTTCCCTGACAAGAGCCCTGCAGCCAGGGAAAGCGTTTTGGCTAGTGGATGCGCTCGAGTTCTGCAAGGAGATATTACAAGGTTAAGAGTAGGTTTAAATATTATAGGTTCTTGAACTAACAGTGATCGAAACACAGGAAACCACGGCTGTGAGGTCCACATAGGAACTATAACAATGCCTTGTGCTTGATCAGTTTTTATCTTTTTTAGCGTTCGTAAGATCATCGAGAAAGGAGGGAACGCGTAAAATAATTTATTGGACCAAGAAATAGTAAAAGCGTCCATTGCTATAGCGTAACGTGAATTTTCCCAGGAGCAAAATGCGCGACATTTAGCGTTGTTATCTGTCGCGAAAAGGTCGATTTCCGGTTTAAAAAACGTTCTAACAATTTTATTGAAAGCAAAATCATTTAGCTCCCATTCTGTGTCCAAATTCTTTAACCTTGATTGTTCGTCTGCTATACAATTCTCTTTTGAAGGAATATAGGATGCGAAAACCCAGATATTCCTTTTTTCGCACCAATTCCAAATTTGTTTACTTAGATCATTAAGATGGGGAAATTGAATTCCTCCCATCTTGTTGATATACGCAATAGCCGTGGTATTGTCCACCCGTAGTAAAATTTCACAGTTAGACAGATCTTCTGCAAATGATTTTAATCCCCAAAATACGGCTAATATTTCTAAGTAATTAATATGATTTAATTTTTCTGTTTCATTCCAAAACCCGTGAATCTTTTCAGATTCGTACGACGCTCCCCACCCTGTTTTTGAAGCATCTGTATAAATTTCCCGAACAAACTTAAACTGTCTTATCTGATTTATAGAGTAAGGTAGCCGATCCATCCACCAATGAAATTCTGAGAATGAAGAATCAGGGATTTTCATTCTTTTATCGTAATCGCCATTTGTCAAAGTTAATTCCAAAAATTTTGTTCTTTCTAAACTCTTAGTGTGAGCCATACCATAAGCTATTGCTGGACAACTTGCTACCAAGCGACCTAAAATCTGTGCAAATTCTCTTATGGTGCATGTTGTTTTCGAACAAAATTTATCAAGTTGAGAATGTAAAGATTTTCTTTTTTCAGACGGTAATTCAACGGTTAAATTATTTGAATTTATCAAAAAACCCAAAAAAGGACAAATTTTTGAAGGTGTTATATGACATTTTTTGTAATTTATTGAAAACCCTATAGATTCTAAAAATTCTATCGTTGTATTGACATTAATGAGACAATTCTCATAATTATTTGCTAGGAGCAGAAAATCATCAAGATAGACAACCGATAGAAAACCCTTATCTCTCAAATAATTTACTACTGGTTTTAAAGTTTTTGTAAATATATACGGACTAATGTTCAACCCAAATGGCAAGCAAACAAATTCGTATATGACACCTTCGAATATAAACCTTAGAAACTTTCTGTGTTCTGTGTGAATGGGTATATGAAAAAATCCGTCTTTTAAATCTAAATGACACATATAATAGTTCTTGTCTACTAACTTACAAGCTGTTCGTAAGTCCTCGATTTTAAAATGAGGCACTTTGATAAACTTATTTAAGGATTGCAAGTTGAAAATAAAACGTTTAGTTTTGTCTGGTTTATCGACTAAAAAATAAGGCGACAAAAACTGATCTTTTATTGGAGAACTAATGACTATTGCACCCATATTTCTAAGTTTACTAATTTCAGACCTCAAAGCTACGGTTTCCTTTTCTGACCAATTCCTTTCTACTGGTTGAGATGATTGTATTGGAAGATTTTCAAAAGGTATTTTAAACCCTTGTATACAATTAAGGACAAACTTGTCGTGCGTAATAATTTGCCAGTTTTTTACAAAACCTTTAAGCCTACCGGCACTACATACCTCTATTGTTTCTGACGCGTTGCAGGTTTCAGGAACTTCGGGTAATTCGAAGTGGCTTGATGACGTCGCGATGTTGGTGCCGCTGTTGACTTGGATCTCTTGTAGTCCGGATGGTTCATTCGAGATAAGTATCCCCTGCTCATCCGCGAAGTCTCGGGTTTCCTCAGGGATGAGCTCCTGGAGTTTAAAGGCTGCCTCGAAGAATTATTTTTATTTCCTTGTATGCCTTTCATATCTCTGCCCAGTTTTTCGAAAGTTTTCGCTTCCGTTACTTTTTCGTTTAATTTATCGCCGAAAAGAAAGGCTGGATTATCTGTTGCACTCTCCAATATATCTCGTACTACTTTTGTGTATCCAGGAGTAATAAAGGCACGCCTGGCCACTGAAATTGAATGAAACATCTCTGTGAGAAGTTTTCCCGCATCAGAAAGTAGTTGTAACTGTTTAAAAGGATCGAATTCCTCTTCTCCGAGCAAATCTGAAATCGCAAGTCCAACTGAGGACAAAGCAGAACCGACCAAGCGTTGCAAGTCTTGGAAATGATCATCCCTCTTTTTTGCAACATCAGTCATTGGAGTTTTTATTTCGGGATTTAATTGAGGAGGCTCTAATAAGCAGTCTCCTTTTCTAGGATAATTTTTTAATAAATCGTCTTTAACTGATTCGGTTATTCCAGAAGACATCCAATGTTTCCATCTAGCCACGAGGTCCGGATGTAATTTAATTTCTTTTTGTTCATTAGAAGAAGGATTCTCTCCAAGAATATCCAGCTTTTTTGAAACGGAAGCGTTAGTTTGTTTGGACTGGTCTTTTTTGTCATTTCTAACCTCTTTGTCTGAAAATAATAACATTATTTGGATTAGTCCTGCACTTATGTGCAGGCTTTTAACCTCACTTTTGTTACATATATATACATATATACAAGTTGTGTGATCTGGATTTGTCCTGCACTTGTGCGCAGGCTCACCAGTCAAGAGATCGGCTTTTTCTCACCTTTAGAATGAGCTATACCGTCTAAATATGTATTATCAATTACTAAAATTACCTGGTTGACCAGCACTGTGAGATGCGACTCGAACTGATGCGGAACAGGAACGGGAACGTGAACGAACTCTATTCTGTCGATTGTGTATTTGTCCTCTCGATTCAGAATGAGAAGAATGCTCCGAACTACATGACGCTCTTCTCAATTTTGCAGACGGACAGCTGCCCGAATAATCTGACTCCGATGACGAAGATGGACGTTTTCGTCCATTTATTCTTCTTCTCAGACGTTCCACTTCCCTTTCTAAACGCTTATAATCATTTTTCGTTGATTTTTTTGAACGGTGTTTACCTGATTTTCCCATTTTGTGAAAATGTGATGTGACGACGCGAAGCACAAAAAAACGAATGAACAAGATGGCGAAGGACCGATAGAGGGGCGAGAGGAACAGTCCCTTTTTGCTTTGACTCTGAATTGTGGCGGCGCGAGTGAGTAGAAACGATACTACTTATTGTAATCCCGAGAACGAGGCGGGAAGTATAATTGAAATAAAATTCTCTAATCTTCAGGATTAGGTAGGGCTCAGTCCCTACTAGAACTCAGGAAATTGTCAGACGATTAGAATTATTAAATTTCGAAGAAATAAATTTTTATTTTCGTTTTTATTAAATTATGATTGTCTGATGGCGTTCGGGTGAGGGTGCTACTACTTAAAAATTGAAATAAAATTCTCTAATCTTCAGGATTAAGTAAGGCTCAGTCCCTACTAGAACTCTGGTGATTTTCAGATGATTAGAATTATTAAATTTGGAAGAAATAAATTTTTATTTTCGTTTTTACCAAATTTTTATTGTCTGATGGCGTACGGGTGGAACTGCTACTACTTAAAAATTGAAATAAAATTCTCTAATCTTCAGGATTAGGTAGGGCTCAGTCCCTACTAGAACTCAGGAAATTGTCAGACGATTAGAATTATTAAATTTCGAAGAAATAAATTTTTATTTTCGTTTTTATTAAATTATGATTGTCTGATGGCGTACGGGTGGACCTGCTACTACTTAAAAATTGAAATAAAATTCTCTAATCTTCAGGATTAGGTAGGGCTCAGTCCCTACTAGAACTCAGGAAATTTTCAGACGATTAGAATTATTAAATTTCGAAGAAATAAATTTTTATTTTCGTTTTTATTAAATTATGATTGTCTGATGGCGTACGGGTGGACCTGCTACTACTTAAAAATTGAAATAAAATTCTCTAATCTTCAGGATTAAGTAGGGCTTAGTCCCTACTAGAACTCTGGTGATTTTCAGATGATTAGAATTATTAAATTTGGAAGAAATAAATTTTTATTTTCGTTTTTACCAAATTTTTATTGTCTGATGGCGTTCGGGTGAGGGTGCTACTACTTAAAAATTGAAATAAAATTCTCTAATCTTCAGGATTAAGTAGGGCTCAGTCCCTACTAGAACTCTGTCTATTTTCAGATGATTGAAATTATTAAATTTGTAAGAAATAAATTTTTATTTTCGTTTTTATTAAATTATGATTGTCTGATGGCGTTCGGGTGAGGGTGCTACTACTTAAAAATTGAAATAAAATTCTCTAATCTTCAGGATTAGGTAGGGCTCAGTCCCTACTAGAACTCTGGTGATTTTCAGATGATTGGAATTATTAAATTTGGAAGAAATAAATTTTTATTTTCGTTTTTATTAAATTATGATTGTCTGATGGCGTACGGGTGAGGGTGCTACTACTTAAAAATTAAAATAAAATTCTCTAATCTTCAGGATTAAGTGGGGCTCAGTCCCTACTAGAACTCTGTCCATTTTCAGATAATTGGAATTATTAAATTTGCAAGAAATAAATTTTTATTTTCGTTTTTATTAAATTATGATTGTCTGATGGCGTACGGGTGGACCTGCTACTACTTAAAAATTGAAATAAAATTCTCTAATCTTCAGGATTAGGTAGGGCTCAGTCCCTACTCTGAACTCTGTCCATTTTCAGATGATTGGAATTATTAAATTTGTAAGAAATAAATTTTTATTTTCGTTTTTATTAAATTATGATTGTCTGATGGCGTTCGGGTGAGGGTGCTACTACTTAAAAATTGAAATAAAATTCTCTAATCTTCAGGATTAGGTAGGGCTCAGTCCCTACTAGAACTCTGTCTATTTTCAGATGATTGGAATTATTAAATTTGTAAGAAATAAATTTTTATTTTCGTTTTTATTAAATTATGATTGTCTGATGGCGTACGGGTGAGGGTGCTACTACTTAAAAATTGAAATAAAATTCTCTAATCTTCATGATTAAGTAGGGCTCAGTCCCTACTAGAACTCTGGTAATTTTCAGATAATTAGAATTATTAAACTTGCAAGAAATAAATTTTTATTTTCGTTTTTATTAAATTATGATTGTCTGATGGCGTACGGGTGGACCTGCTACTACTTAAAAATTGAAATAAAATTCTCTAATCTTCAGGATTAGGTAGGGCTCAGTCCCTACTAGAACTCTGGTAATTTTCAGATAATTAGAATTATTAAATTTAGAAGAAATAAATTTTTATTTTCGTTTTTACCAAATTATGATTGTCTGATAGCGTTCGGGTGAGGGTGCTACTACTTAAAAATTGAAATAAAATTCTCTAATCTTCATGATTAAGTAGGGCTCAGTCCCTACTAGAACTCTGTCTATTTTCAGATGATTGGAATTATTAAATTTGTAAGAAATAAATTTTTATTTTCGTTTTTATTAAATTATGATTGTCTGATGGCGTACGGGTGGAACTGCTACTACTTAAAAATTGAAATAAAATTCTCTAATCTTCAGGATTAGGTAGGGCTCAGTCCCTACTAGAACTCTGGTGATTTTCAGATGATTAGAATTATTAAATTTGGAAGAAATAAATTTTTATTTTCGTTTTTACCAAATTTTTATTGTCTGATGGCGTTCGGGTGAGGGTGCTACTACTTAAAAATTAAAATAAAATTCTCTAATCTTCAGGATTAAGTAGGGCTCAGTCCCTACTAGAACTCTGGTGATTTTCAGATGATTAGAATTATTAAATTTGCAAGAAATAAATTTTTATTTTCGTTTTTATTAAATTATGATTGTCTGATGGCGTACGGGTGGAACTGCTACTACTTAAAAATTGAAATAAAATTCTCTAATCTTCAGGATTAGGTAGGGCTCAGTCCCTACTAGAACTCAGGAAATTGTCAGACGATTAGAATTATTAAATTTCGAAGAAATAAATTTTTATTTTCGTTTTTATTAAATTATGATTGTCTGATGGCGTACGGGTGGACCTGCTACTACTTAAAAATTGAAATAAAATTCTCTAATCTTCAGGATTAGGTAGGGCTCAGTCCCTACTAGAACTCTGGTGATTTTCAGATGATTGGAATTATTAAATTTGGAAGAAATAAATTTTTATTTTCGTTTTTATTAAATTATGATTGTCTGATGGCGTACGGGTGAGGGTGCTACTACTTAAAAATTGAAATAAAATTCTCTAATCTTCAGGATTAGGTAGGGCTCAGTCCCTACTAGTACTCTGGTGATTTTCAGATGATTAGAATTATTAAATTTGGAAGAAATAAATTTTTATTTTCGTTTTTATTAAATTATGATTGTCTGATGGCGTTCGGGTGAGGGTGCTACTACTTAAAAATTGAAATAAAATTCTCTAATCTTCAGGATTAGGTAGGGCTCAGTCCCTACTAGAACTCTGGTGATTTTCAGATGATTGGAATTATTAAATTTGGAAGAAATAAATTTTTATTTTCGTTTTTATTAAATTATGATTGTCTGATGGCGTACGGGTGAGGGTGCTACTACTTAAAAATTGAAATAAAATTCTCTAATCTTCAGGATTAAGTAGGGCTCAGTCCCTACTAGAACTCTGGTGATTTTCAGATGATTAGAATTATTAAATTTGCAAGAAATAAATTTTTATTTTCGTTTTTATTAAATTATGATTGTCTGATGGCGTACGGGTGGAACTGCTACTACTTAAAAATTGAAATAAAATTCTCTAATCTTCAGGATTAGGTAGGGCTCAGTCCCTACTAGTACTCTGGTGATTTTCAGATGATTAGAATTATTAAATTTGGAAGAAATAAATTTTTATTTTCGTTTTTATTAAATTATGATTGTCTGATGGCGTTCGGGTGAGGGTGCTACTACTTAAAAATTGAAATAAAATTCTCTAATCTTCAGGATTAGGTAGGGCTCAGTCCCTACTAGAACTCTGTCTATTTTCAGATGATTGGAATTATTAAATTTGTAAGAAATAAATTTTTATTTTCGTTTTTATTAAATTATGATTGTCTGATGGCGTACGGGTGAGGGTGCTACTACTTAAAAATTGAAATAAAATTCTCTAATCTTCATGATTAAGTAGGGCTCAGTCCCTACTAGAACTCTGGTAATTTTCAGATAATTAGAATTATTAAACTTGCAAGAAATAAATTTTTATTTTCGTTTTTATTAAATTATGATTGTCTGATGGCGTACGGGTGGACCTGCTACTACTTAAAAATTGAAATAAATTTCTCTAATCTTCAGGATTAGGTAGGGCTCAGTCCCTACTAGAACTCTGGTGATTTTCAGATGATTAGAATTATTAAACTTGCAAGAAATAAATTTTTATTTTCGTTTTTATTAAATTACGATTGTCTGATGGCGTACGGGTGAGGGTGCTACTACTTAAAAATTGAAATAAAATTCTCTAATCTTCAGGATTAAGTAGGGCTCAGTCCCTACTAGAACTCTGGTGATTTTCAGATGATTAGAATTATTAAACTTGCAAGAAATAAATTTTTATTTTCGTTTTTATTAAATTATGATTGTCTGATGGCGTACGGGTGAGGGTGCTACTACTTAAAAATTG